ATGAAGCTCGGAAAAGGCGGGCAAAGGAAAAGGGATGGCAAACTCGCCCCACCACCTCCCGCGAGCCCTGGCCACGACTGCCCGTTCCTTGCCGCCGAGCTAACAGCCGGGAAAACTTTCCTTTAAACCCGGGAGTTATTCGCGAGGCATGTTGCGGCCGGCGGCCCCGGCCCTCGCCCGCCCGGGAAGGCCGGCCCGGTGCGTACCGTAACCCGGGTGGTTTTCCCTGGCTGCGGGCTTCGGCTCAGCCTTTTCCCCTACCAAAAGGGACTCTCTGCAGTCCCGAGCAGAGCTGGGTTCGGGCTAGAGCCGCTTCCTGGACTCGCCGCCGTTTCCAGGTGTAGCTGGGCTCGTCTTTCGGCACTAACAAAGCAAAACACTCAAACAACGAAAATAAATAAATAAGCAAACAAACAAAAAAACCCAACGAAATTGCAACGGGGAAAAATCAGCGCCCAAACCGGCCCCTCTTCCCGAGGGCGGAAACCGAGGCCCGATTTCTGGAAGTTGCCGTCTAATTTCGACCCGATAGCGCTGAGTTCAGGCGCGGGCGGACGAACGGGCCCTTCCCCTCGCAGGCACTGGGCTGGATTTCACGCAGCCTCTTCCTAGCTGAGACACAACGCAACTTTGCACTAATTATTTTTTCGTGGGGTTAGGAATAAAAAACAAACAAACAAACAAAAAAACCAACCCAAACCAAACCATATACATTTATTTAAAACAAACGGCAATAAAAAAGCAAACAAAACAACGAATAGGAATTCCCGGGACGTTACTTCCCGCTTACGAGGCACTGGGGCCGGGGCCGGCGGAGTTACCGCCGCACACAAACGAAATTAGCCCGAGCCCGGTTGGCACGGAGCGCGGAGCCCCGGCCCGGCGCCAGGACCGCCTGCCGTTGCCGACCCCCCTCTCCCCGCAGGCGCTTCGCTGGGCAAGCGGCCGCATTCCTCGCCGCCGGAGTCGAGCGGTGCCCGGCGGGTGCCCGCAGCACCCAGGGAAGGCGCCGGGGCCGCCGCCGAATTTTTGCAGCCCGTGCGTGTATGTCGGCGGGGAAGCGGCGGCTTCGCAGCGCGGAGGGTGGGTGTCCCCAGCCCAGCACCCGGGAGCCGGAGCCCCTCTGCTGATGTGTCGCTGCTTGCTTCTTTGCCTCTCATCCCCCCTCCTCCCGTGTCCCCCCCAGTGGCCCTCTCACCCTTCACTGTAACACGCCGTATAGGTCACCCCTACCAGAACCGCACGCCCCCCAAGAAGAAGAAGCCGCGCACCTCCTTCACCCGCCTGCAGATTTGCGAGCTGGAGAAGCGCTTCCATCGGCAGAAATACCTGGCTTCGGCCGAGCGCGCTGCCCTTGCCAAGGCCCTCAAGATGACAGATGCCCAAGTGAAGACCTGGTTCCAGAACCGGCGTACCAAGTGGAGGTGAGGGACTGGGGGGCTCGGTGGACTGGTCTGCTGGGTCAGCCCGGGATGGGCAAGCCTGTCTGCCACCAGCTCTGGAGGGGCAGTGGTGTCCTCGCATTGGCTTGCAAGCCCTGTATGTATGTGTGGATGTGAAAGTGTGTGTACCTGTGCGTGTGCATGCACAGCCGAGTGTGTGCAGCGCCTGTGGCTATGAATGTGCAGTGGGTACGCGTGGGCTGTGTGTCACAGGCCAGTGTGTTGGGCACACCAGTGGGTGTGTGTGTGAGCAGGGCACGTGCGTGTAACTCTGCACGGTGAGTGTGAATGATTTTGCGTGAAGGCCACGTGTGTCCTGGTGTGCCCACATACAGTGCGTGTGTGGACGTGCATGGGGCTGTGAGTGCACTGTAGTGCAGGCCGCGCGTGTTCAGTGTGGGTGTATGTGCGTTGTGTGAGCACACCGGATCTGCGTGCGAGGTGTGCACGTGTGCAAGGTGTGTGAATGTGTGTGCACACACGCGTGCATGGGGGGTGTTTGCAGTGTGCCGTGCAGTGGGTGCAGTCAGTTTCACCGGTTTGCACCCGTGGGTGCAGCGGCCCCCGTGCCTCTTTCACAGGCAGCGGCATGTGGGAGTCCCCAGCCAGGGGCTGTCAGAGAACCGAGCTCTGCATAGCGTGGAGATTTTCATCCCCGTGGGGATGAAAATTTCATCCTTCGTGGCGCCTCCTTGCTCAAACGCTTTCTTTTTGTTCTGCTGCCGGGCGTGCCGGTAAAGCCGGAGAGGAAGAGGAGGCTGGGCTCACGCCGACCCTCCAGGGTTCAGTCGCCGTAACCCTGTCCCTCCCAAGCTACACCTTCCCGGGATGTCCCCGGGGTAGGCACTCCAGCCCTGAGAACAAGCCCTGCCCTGGGCACAGGCAGCCTGCGGCGGGGTGCTGGGTAAGGGGGAGCTTCCAGAGAGAGCAGAAAGGGGGGGTGTTGCTGAGTGCAGACAGGCAGCAGCTTCTTCAAAATGGGGAAAAAGGGCTTTCTTGGGGTCTCCCTGAGACTTCAAAGGACAGTGAGGATGCTGGGGTTGGGTAAGAAACAAGACAAGGAATTTGACACCGAGGGTGTGTGTGAATCCCCAACCCCAGACAGTCCTTCCCTAGAGAGGCCGTGGTAGAGTAGTTTCCCAGGTGTTAGGAAGTCTTTTGCTGGAGTGATCTGTGTTGGTCAGAAACAGAACACTGGAGAAGGAATAGTCCTGCTGTGGCCTTCAAAACAGGGTCAGTTATATTTTCTAACCAAGTTTCCTAAGGAAGTGAGGCAAATCCATCTGTCAATACTCTTTGCGTCTGTTGGCTAAATTCAGTCTCTTTTGGCAGAGGAGCAGAGGATATAAACCTGTTCACATGTTTTACAAAAAATAGCTGGGTAAAGAAAAACAAAATCCTGGTTCTGCCTAAGGGGAAGGCTGCAGCCAGATCTCAGCTATAGTATTAGACCTGGGAGAGTCCCCACTGGTCTGAGCCAGAGGGACACAGGCATGTAAACTTTGCTTGTATGCTGTGATGGAGGTGTGGATGCCCCTGGGTGACAGCACACCCAGCTCACTGCCCCAGGCCCCTGTGCTGGGTAGTGGGGTCTGGGCAGTGCCTGGAGCACTGGGTGCTGGAAGGAGCCACTACGGGCTCAGGCTGAACTCAACAGCAGGAAGTAGCTGAAAAAAGAGTTGGTTTAAGCTCTCTGATGGATTTAACTGCAGACTTGGGGGGGAAGAGTCTTGCCCTTGCCTTTTGCCTGGATGTCTCTGCTGGAGCAAGGTGGCTGTGTGATTCCATTCTCAGATTTGGGCTCTTGTTTTATACACAGTTATTTTCAGGCAGATTTGAATCTGCAAATCCCAGCGTGGCATGAATGCATGACTAGGCCAGTTGCTTGCAGCAGGGAGATACTTGGGAGCTGGGTGCTTACAGCCACAGTTCTCCTTACCACCCTGGATGTGGGGCTCTCTCCCTCCTCCCTGAGTATCTCTTCATTGTGCAGAGAGTCATTAAATATTCATTGAGGCAGAGATGGAACTGCTGTGGGGTTACATGGGAATGGCTGGTGCTACTTTGAGCCCCATCTCCCCAGGATGTCTCACATGAGATGTTGACACAGTGATTAAAACAGAGATTGAGCCCTGAACTACCTGCTCCCAGGCGGGAGCACTGGCCACACACCTGGAGGCTTGGGTGCCCAGAGGCCCGTCGCTGGCATCCAACCCTGGCCCACTTCCCCACTGGGAACTAGGGACCACTGCCCTGTGCTCTGAGATGTCACTGTGGAGATCAGAGCTGCCACTTCCAATTCTTGCAGACAAAGAGAATGAGACATCTCACATTCTCCTGAGCTGCTAAATTAAAACCTGCCATTTCCTGTGTCACAGGTCCACTGAAGCTGCTGGGTGAGTGTCAGCTGGGCCTGGGGGTGTGAGGGGGGGAGGTGGTGATTTGGGGATCATCCTGGGACCAGCACTGTGAGTTGCTCCCAGGTTTTCCCAGAAGCATCGGGGGAGGTGCCAGGTGATGTTCAGAGATGATTGCAGGCTGTAGACTCCAGACTGACCTGCCATCCATGCAAGTGGGAGTGGGATTTTCATTGTGGATATAAGTGCATTCAGGCTGTTTTCCAGCTATCCCGTTTTCTCCTCCCAGGTAGCCCAGAGCCAGGACCCTGTCAATACTGGAAAGAACCCCTGCTGACACCCTAAACCCCCTTCCTCAGCAGGATCAACTCTGTTGGTGTCATTCCAGGCAGACACATGTCCAAATTGTTCTTAAAAATATTGTCCTTCATCCTGTCCACATAGTATATTCTGTGCTTTGATTTTTCTCACTGCTAAAAAGTGTATTTCTAGTGTTTAGCTGACATCTTGCTGACTTTTGTCCTGTTTGCAATGGGCATATTTTTGCCTTCATCCAGGGTTTCAATAGCTGGTCACCACAGCTCAGCGGATGAGGTGGCAGACCAGGGTGCTGGAAGGAGATGCACAGGGTGATGCTGCCCATCTCCCAGCTGTGTAGCACTGCCAGTCACTGTTCCACCTCATCCTGCTCCATGCTCCTCACTGGGACACTGTATGTTTGGCTCTTGTTGTTAGTACCAGAGCATGTTTGCAGGGGATTGCACCTTTTGCGATGCTGTTGTGTGACCCTTTCCATGTTTTATTTCTGCTTGGTTTTTTTTCCTGTGGCCAGAGAATAATCGAGAGAGAGCTCCCAGCTCTCTTTGATCAGAGCAGTTTTTATTGAGGCCAGTAAGATAGACAGACCCAGTCCCCAGATTATGGGATTTACTTGCAGTTTGTGCGGGGGATGTGGGACGACACCATGGCCAGGGATCTTCTTTTCCTTACCCCCACCCCTGAGTCCTGAGCCCCCAGCACAAGTTACTCTCTTGGGAGATGCCCCTCCTTTTCTTCCCCGGCCCCTCTAACGCTCCCTCTCTCCTAGGAGGCAGACAGCGGAGGAGCGGGAGGCTGAGCGGCAGCAAGCAAACCGCATCCTCATGCAGTTGCAGCAGGAGGCCTTTCAAAAAACCATCAACCAGCCCATCCAAGCAGACCCTATCTGTGTCCACAACTCCTCTCTCTTCGCCCTCCAGAACCTCCAACCGTGGTCTGACGACTCTACCAAGATCACCAGTGTCACAACTGTTGCCTCTGCTTGTGAATAAGGTTGGTGGCCACCAGTGGCACATACACCTTCTGCTAGCAGAGCTGTCTCCAGGGGGACACATGGCATCTTTGATGAGACATGTGGTCACTCTGTTTGTCCCCAGGGAAGGCTGGCACCCCCCTTTTGTTCAGCCACATGTGCATCCCACGTGTCCAGCTGGGGAAATCCACCACAAGGACTGAAAGGAAGGGAAGCCACCACAAAATCTCTCCCCAGTCGTGGGGTTGCTGGAGCAGCAGTACTGTCTCACCTCCCCCCAACCCTTTTGTTCTCTTGAAAGTCTCCAGTGTCGAACCTGAACTTGCTGACGTGCTGCCAGACAAAAGCCCAGCCCTGACAGACACAGCCGCCGGCGTTCACCCAGCTAGGGGAGAGGAAAACTTCCTTTGGATTCTACTGGCGGCAGTGCAAAGCCCAGGGTTACCCTTATATATTCATGTGTGTGTATGTGTGTGTGTGTGTATATATATATATATAAAAAGTATATATATATATATATATATAGATAGATAGATAGACACACATATATATACATGCACACTTTGGACTGATGGCTCAAAACAAAAGCAAGAGGCTCCCTGGAAAGCACTTCTCTGCTTTGAGCCTTCTCGGGTTGTCTACATTGGAGACGTTCGGGGATGCAACAAATGGAGGAAACAGCAGCAATTTCTGCCTGTGCCAGATGGGAACCCTTCAGATCTCACCTCGCTGTCTCTCCTCCCCTTTTTCATTAATTTTTTTCTTCCAAGGGGGGAACAAGAGAAGGATCTGACAGACTCCTGAGGATGGTAAATATGATATCTCAACTGTATGAAGAGCCCAAATTGTCACTGGCTGCCACGGACTCTGTGCCCATCAGTGTGTGTTTTAATAATGAGAAGACCTGGGTGGCATTTTACAGGGGTAATGCAGTTTCTTTCCATGGATTATTTCCATATAATTTCCAAAATGTTGTCCAGTGTTTTTATTTTACCCATTTTCCTTTAGAAGGCAGTTTATGACAGAAAAAAAATTATTTCGCTCTCAGCTGTTTAACTTAGTTTTTCCTTTAATTGTACCAAGAGAATGAGACAAAATTAAACAAAGCACTTCTAGCAAATGCCAGGAATATATAGATATATATATAAACAGTATATATTTTTCAGTTACTTATAATCTAAAACAGCACTGCCAGTTTAAGCAGTTAGTGCAAACAAGCAACCAGAAAACCTATTTTCAGTGAGATTATTAAAGGCATCGGTTTGGGGGTTGTTTTTTTTTGTTTTGGTTTGGTTTAGTTTCTTAAGTTATGCACTTACAAGGTGTTTTAAGTGTATTCATTTTATAAAGTGCTTGTGTAATTTATGTGGAAATGAAAAAGAAAATAAAAAATCTCCAGGGTACTGAATAAATCATTTAAAACCTTGCTGTTCCCTGTCTATTAGTTCTACAAGAGGAGACAGCATATCACAACTACTGCTGAAGCCTGTGCTGCTGGTTTGTTTTTTTTTTAAATGAAAATAGAGTTAGTGTTTCCATTTGACTTCACTCAGGTCCACTTGGTTTTGGAGGCTCCAGATGTAATATGCTGTGTTTTAAACCCTGATCCTGTAAACATTTTCAGGCTTCAACCCAAGAGTGCATTTAGGATGTGCTTTAATTGAAGCCCGCCTGGGAGGCTTGCTGGGGGTGGCAGGGACTGCGCAGGGTCATGCGGAATAATTTCTTGAATAAGACCTTGGAGTGAGGACTCACCTGGGCTGAGGGGGCTCTAGAGATATTTATGTCTGAAATACGGATATGTATATGGAAAGGGGAATTTGAATTTACAGAAATGTGCAAGAGTGCATTTTAGAGACACTCTTGCAAGGAATTATTCACTGTTTCCCATTCATGCTCAGCCTTGCTGCAGGACATCATTCCCAGCTTGGCAAACCTTTCTCAGAGGAAAATCAAACTGGTGAGAAAACCCTCATCAGCTTCCTTGGGGGACACTCCAAGCCCAGTGGCCAGGAAAGCTGGACTGACTTCAGCCTGGTGTTTCCTTCCAGCACTGGGAATTACTGAGTAAGGGATGTTGCAGGATAGGGCTGAAAAGGGCGGCCAGCCACGAGTGGCTGACAGGAACTCCCTGATGTGGCCTTGGGGTCCAGGCTGCCTGTGAGACATCTGTGACAAAATACCCTGAGCCTTTGATACCTGGTGGTTGATAGTGCTCCTGGAAGCTGAATCCTCTGGGTGCATCGCAGTGTTTCTCAGAGTTTGTTAAGGGAGCATACGAATAGTCTGCTTTATCCAAAATCTGCTATTGTAGTGGGCTAAGAATTTATCGTGCTGAGGAATTTTCCCATTCTGCAGTCCTATGTGCAAGCAAACACAGAGAAACATTTGCAGCAACAGAGAGACAAGAAGCCAAAAAAGAAGAAAATATAAAAAAAGATAAAACACAGTAAAATAAGTAACTACAGAGGATGAGCATTTTTGGAAGTATCTTTGAAAGAGATTGATTACCCCCAGAAAACTACTAAAATAAAATAACTTGTCTTTTTTTCCAACATAAATTTCAGAGAAGTCTTTTGTTTGAATTCTGTTTTACGCTACAGACAGATTTTTAGATGCGAATTAAGCTAATTATTTAACATATGCCTAACTTTGTCTACAAAGATCACGCTGGGGTTACGGCTTACTCCTTCAGGAGGCATTGCTGTGTACAAATTTTTAATGGTTTACAGTTCATTGCAATGTACATTTTTGTTTTCAGGCTTTTTGCAGAGGGAAAAATACTAACCACAAAATAATAATAAAAAAGGATGATAAAACTCACTGTTGATATTAAAAGTGTTTTCTATTTTATTATTATGACACATCAATATCGTAAAATTTAATTCCAAGACAGCCGTTTTATAATATCCACATTATTCAGTTCATAATCCAAAATGTTCCCCAGCAAAGTCAAATATATGATAATACACATTCAAGGGCATGTGTTTAGGTAGAATATTTAGCTACACCTTGTTCTTAAAACTGTTGACTTCCTCCTTATCAATCTTTCCTGAGTAAAAAAAAAAAAAAAAAAAAAAAAAAAAAAAAAAAAAAAAAAAAAAAAAAAAAAAAAAAAAAAAAAAAGACCAAAAGAAAAAAAAAAAAAAGATGCCTTGGTATGAAATGACAATATATGTAACATTGGAACCAGAAAAATAGTTGCCTGGTCTTTCTTGTCCCTGGAACGATTGTTTCTGGAGGAGGTTTCTCTTAAAATACTTCTCTTGGATTCATTTTTAAAATTGGTTGAGTGGCAGGAGGTGTTTTTGATATCTGCATACATGCTTCCAGTTTTTAGTATGATGATCTGTACCCAGACAATAAAAGTTGCCTGAAATATGATGGAATTAAATCAATAAGTAATGACATGAAACAGTGACATGTAATGTTATGTTTTGTAGACTGACATCACCTCAGCCATATCCTGGGGCCATCCATACCACACTGAAGGCTGATTTAATTTTTTGTATTATACTTGTTTGGGAACAGGAATAAAATTGCGTTAAGATGCCTTGAAAGTCATTTCCCTCTTCTCTTGCTCTCAAAATAAAGCAAATCCCAAACATGAAATGGCAGTCAGGGAGAAATGTTTTTCCACTGTTTGCCTGTATCTAGGAGATACGGATCAAGATAGAGTGGCCTTGGTCTGCAGGGGAAAAGCCTGTGTGATGCCTGCAGCATGTGGGCATTGTAGGGGAGTGCACTGTGGTCATCCGCACCGCTGTCACCCGTAACGCTGCCAGGGATTAAGGGCCATCATTCATGCTGGTTGGCTATGGATGTGCCAAGCTTTTGAAGGAAAATCCAGGGGGAGAAAAAGCAGTGTTTGCAAGAACAAACAGAGCATTAAACATCTGTGTGGAGCTGGAAGAGACGAAGCCCAGCTGTATGGGCTGCGGTTGTCTGGGTTTGGTCCCAGCTCAGCAAACTATGTAGGCAGGAGGGAACCAGAGGTATGGCCCCCATTTAGTCAATTAGTTGAGCACATGAGTCATCCAAACAAGGATCAGTTGGTTTATCTCTGCTGAGGGATGGCCCAGGGAAAGGCTGAAGGGTCTTTGCTGGAGCCTTCTGCCTTGAGAGGAGTCTGCAGTTGTGCTTTTTCCTGGGTGTGGGCCAGCGTGTTTAGTCCCTGCCCCAGTTTCTACATGAATGCTTATAAAAAACACATATAGCTTTTCTTGGGCTGGCTTATCCCATCTATGGGGCATTTTTTATATATTTAAAGTTATTTTTCCTGCAGCATCATCAGTGAGAGTCACCCACGTGTGGCGTTTGCTGGAGGAAGACCCAGGCAAGTGTGTGTGTCCTCTAATGCGGTTTGTATAACTGATAATGAAAGGAGGCTCTGACCCTAGAAACGCCATATATAAGATCATTTTAGTTATCTCACTGGGACTGTTGATCACTATTTTTGAATGTGCTCCTGATTAACCCACACACCAAAAGAAAGCTTAAAACTGGGGCTGGTGCCTCAACACAGTGGCAGTGGGAGCCCATCCCTGTGGGAGGCAGCCAAGGCCAGCTTACACACAGTCGGGGGCTAAATGGGGTAGAAAACCCAAACCAATTTACTGACAAAACTGAAAATGGCTTTGCTGAAAACTGTTTGGGTTACAGTAAAAAACCATCCCTCTCTGGGGTTCTGGGACAGCTGGAATTTTTTGAATTAATCTTTTTTTTTCCCCCTACCAGAAGCAGACTGGCTGAGTGACACTGATTTCTTTGTGCAACAGTCAGCTTTGATGGCCACTTGTTTGAAAAACATTTGTGAAATAACATTTGGAATTACCAAATTATCGCGGGTGGAAATTTTCTACATGAAAAGGTCTTAATTTGTGAAAAAGTGAGATTTATTTTTTTAAAAAACAAGTATTAGGGACAAAAAAAGCACACCAAGCTTTAGATTATCACAACAAACCTCTACTGTAGTCAAACGAGATTTTTTTTTTCAGATCTTTTGTTTGTGCAGCTAGC